TATATATATATTTTAAAAAATAATTATTTAACTTTATTTATTTTAATTTGTCCAGAGAGGGACAGAGTATGTGAGAGAGAGAGAGAAAGTGAGAAAGCAAGTCACCAGGTCTGCGACTCGAACTGTGGTCGGCCATGTGGGAGTCCAGCCCCGTTAACCACCATGCCACCTGCCAGCCCCATATATTTTTGTAGTAGTCCCTTGTCAATCAGAATTTGCTGCTTGTGGTTTTGGAGCTCAAGACATGAGGGCATTATCAGGTTCAGAGAGGGCTTGGGTGAGTGGAGACGTGAGGACAGTCTCCTTGTCCTTACTTGGTCTCTTCCTGCTGCACTGATCCCAGATACAGCCAGTGAACCAAGAGGCAAAGATTTAGGGTAGGATAGTGAAGAAGAGGAAATATGCCCAGGATTTGTTTATTTCTGTTTAAAACAAGCATTTGGTTCAAATAGGCAATTTTTAAAATAAAATAATTATTTATTATCATTATTTTTAAATTTGACCAGACAGAGAGAGAGGGAAAGTGAGAAAGCAAGCCTCCAGGTTTGGGACTTGGGTTGTAGTCAGTCATGTGGGAGTCCAGCACCTTAACTACTATACCACCTGCTGACCTCCAAATAGGCATTTTTTAAACCTTGCTTATGCTTTAGAGACCTAATAGGAAGTAGAATCTTAACTTTTTTTTTTTGCAGGTGGGCAGATGGAAAAGGGCCCCTGGCAGCTGCATTCTCTTCCAGTGAAGTAAAAGCTTTAATTCGTGCCTTGTTCCAGAATACAGAAAGAAGAGCGGCTGCAATTGCCAAGATTAAATAGCTCCATCTTGAGAGGGCCGTGTCTGGACTTCGTGCATTCCTTCCTTGGTGTAATTACTCCCTTAAAGACTTCTTGGAATCACCCATTGGTCTTGATGAACCAACATATCATGGAAGTCCGACTTCAAGACTGTCTAACCTCCTGGCTGTGTGAGGCTTTGTCGAAGAACTGGATGTTTCGATGCCCAGTGACAGTGAAGCACCTCGATTCATTGCCTTTCTAGCCACCCTTAGAGAAGAAACTGTAGGGCAGCAGCATTTCCTGCTGCTTCCAACACCCTCTGGGAACTACGTACATTGTAAATACAGACCCTGGCTTTGGATTGAGGAATCCGGGAGATTCCAAGAGTCAGGGTGAATAATTTCTGGACAAATAGATATTTTTTGGGGGGAATGTCAGGGTACCATATTGGCTTTGTTGGAATTACGGAGACTTTCTGTAATATTTCTTTTAATAAATAATGCATTTCACAGTTAAGGATGACTGTCTTTAATAACATGGAGGCTTTGACAAGAGATGAAGTTTTTTTTTAATCTTCTGTGCCATTCTTTTTATCACTGTTATACCATGGTTGTATGACCCTTACAGAGGACTCATTGTTTATCTCCTTTCTTCATCACATTACCTGATAATTTCGTAGAATTTCTAGGACTCTGGGCTTTAAAGCTTTTGGTACTTTCTTGCTACATTTTCTTTTCCTGGTTGGGGTTTTCTCCCTTCTGAAGCTCCACTGTTTGTACACCATGTCAAGTGGCAAAGGTTTTAATTGCTGACGTTCCTTGGAATGGAATGCCTATGTCCTGAGAGACTAGCTCTGAGCTCTATAGCCTAATCCTTATTTATTTATTTACATTTAATCACTGTGTCTCACTACAGCATACCAAATGCATTTTCCCATCACGAATACACTATATGTTGGTTCAGTCAAAGACAATACCATACACATTATCATCAACAGATAATTTTCCATTTTTGTGTTCCTTAAATGTTTTGCTTTTTTCTTTTCCCCCTTTTGATTCCTTCCCTCTCACCCTTCCCCATTTCCTACCCTTCTCCCACACTGTTTCTAGTATCCACAGTTTTTCGCCATGCCTTTATACCTTCCAGTCTTTCAGTTTCTGCTCTAGAGTGCAGACATTGGCTATATATTAGGGACATACCATATCTCTCTTTCATAATCTGACTTGCTTCACTTTTATCTTCCATACTCGTCCACTTTCTATCAAATGCTTCATATTTCATGGCTGAGTAGTATTCCGTAGTGTGTATGTACCACATTTTTTCAATCCATCCATCTGTTCGTGGACATTTGGGTTGGTTCCATGTCTTGGTGATCGTGAGTAATGCCACAATAAACATGAATGTGCAAGTGATTTTCTGATTGAGTGTATTCTTATCCCTCAGGTAATACCCAGGAGTGGGAGTGCTGGATCTTTATTTGGTGGGTACAGGTAATCCTTCAGCTTGTGTTTTTAACTTTTCTCAGCCATTGGGTACATATGTTATGTTAAGGTTATTCTGTACCTCTCTAGGACTCTGCATTCTTTCTCTCTCCCTCTTTTTTTTTTTTTTAAGTTTATTATTGTTTTAAAATTTGCTATAGGGCATGTGTGCTCACTAGAGAGAGAGACAGAGAGAAACAGAGAACATGAGAAAGCAAACCACAAGGTCTGGGATTCCAATCACGGTTGGCCATGTTGGAGTTCAGCAATTTAACCACCACACCACCTGCTGACCCCTGTCTTTTTAAAAAATTATGCCAGTGTGTGTGTGTGTGTGTGTGTGTGTGTGTGTGTGTGTGTGCATGTGCGTGTGAGATGGTGAAGTAGGAGAGAGACCCCCCACAACACACACACACACAGAGGGTTGGGATATTTTGTAGTTCTTTTTCCTCTAATTCTCTATCCTTTCAGGATCCTGGGCATCGTGCGCACCTGGTATGTAAGCTGCTGGGGCTGGAACTTGATCCCTGATTGACCACGTGGGATTCGGCTTTCTCTGCATAGCCCTTAAGTGCTATGCCAAGGGTCCAGCCCCTCTATTACATCTTTATACTAAAATACAGTTTCCTGAAGAGAGAAGTGTGATCTTTGGTGGTGGTTTGTTTTTTGAAGTTTATTTCTTCTGTCAATGAGAGAGACGGGGAGAGAAAGAGACAGTGTCCCCAACAAGATCTCAGTGCTGCAGTCCACATGCAACCTCCAGCCAGCCCTGGATCCTGGGTATAAGTGTTCCTGGCTGTGGACCTAAACCAGGAACCTAGCTCTGTGGGACCACCTCTCAAGAGTGCCACATTCCGTGCTGCAACTCTGTCTCGTCCAGGATGTGGTCTTTCTGTGTTTTGGAGGCAGGTGCTGTCTGAAGGAAGTTTCCAGTACAATGGGCATGCCTCCTTAGTCCTCAGCCTCAGCCCTGGGCACACGTAGAACAAATTGTTGCTCCTCCTGCCTTTCAGTCTTCTCTGCCTCTCACCCTCCTCTTTGTTCTGGCTCAGCTCCTTTAATCAATTCATTCTGGTTGCTTAGTCTTTTTCATATTTAAGGGTCATGAAAAAAACTAACATGAAGACAGGTTTTCTTTTTGGGATAGAACTCAGCTGTGCTTAATGACAGGCTAGTGTCTATATTCATGTCTTCCTATGAGAATACAGAAAAAATTTATCTGAACCAGCTTTGGTTTTTTGAGAATAAAGACATTGCCTTTTTTTAATTTAAAAAATTTTTTTTCAAGAGGAGGGATGGACCATTTTCACAGGTAAAGAAAATATCTGTTTTTGAAAACTCACAATTTCAGGTAGCGTTCTTTTCTCAGCAATGGAGAGAATGGGAGGCTAAGGACAGAACTGAAGTAAGGGCATCACAGGGCCATTACAGCGAACAGCTTTCTGTTCATAGAAGCTATTCCTGTTGCTTGACAGGCACAGCAATTTAAGAGTGGGATCTCTTGGAACTGAAAAGCATGCTCCTCGCTCCTTCCCTCCCTCAGTAACAGCTGCAGTGCAGTTCTTGGGCTATGTAGACTCGGTCCTTAGGGATCATTTCCACTAATGAATAGTTTGTATGCCATGGCATGCAGAGTGGGCAGACTCCATCCTCTCTAGCCAAGTAGCTGTTGATTAAGTAGATGTGCCTTCTGGGTACTGGCTGAATCTCTGATTGAGCACGTGGGAGCTGGGGCTGGAAGCTCTTCCAGGGCCCTTGAGGGTACCTGTCTGATTTGGAACTTGAGTTGGAATGGGAGCAGAACCTTCTTCCTTTAGAAGGAACATGTGAGTTGTGTGGGGAAGGGAATTGTAGAGGTTTGACCGTATTAGTGGATGGATGGGTCAAGTAAAAGAAGTCTCTTCCTGGGGCCAGCAGGTGGCGTAGTGATTAAGGGGTTGGATACCCAACTATGGTTCACTTTCTGGATGTGGCTGCTTGAAACTTATGCTGGGCATGTGTATACGTGTGCCCCAAATCCTGAGAGAAGAATGGAGGGGAGGGGATTGCAGTGTGGCCAGAGTGATTTTTCACTTTCTCTCCATCTTTCTGTCTCTTTGGCAATCACATGCACCCTACAGCAGAAAAATCTCTCCAAAAAAAGAAATCTCTTCCCAAAGAGCATTCAGAACTATACAAATGACAGAGATGAAATTAAAGAAAGGTTTCCCAAGACTGTAATAAAAAGGGGAACTTCTGATGAGTCTGCAAATAGCCTAAATCCTCGAGGTTACTTGATAGTACCTCCCATTTTTATATGGATGCTGAATTTTTTGTTGGTGACCTTTTCCATGATCAGTTTGCAAAAGCATTTCTCTCTGACCTGGAATTCCTCCAGGTGGCGCTCTTTCCTCAGGTCTGGGTATATCCCAAGGCATCCAGGCCTGGTCTGTGGAATGGAAGGCAGAGGACCTGTTCTGCCCTGAGTTTATGTTTTAGCCTCAGTCAGCTCTGAAAGGTCAGCCAGACTGAGCCGATCTGCACCATAAGCTGTGACACTGCTGAGCTCTCACAGGTAAGTCGATCAAATAGCGTTTTCTTCGATTACTCACATGGTTAAAGACGATGTGGATAATCCACTTCCCACGCTTGTAAATACAAATGCCATCCCTTAAAGGCAATGATGTCCAGTTTCTTGTGGGGTTGCAGTCTGTTGTTTATCTGATTCTCTTAAGATTTTATCTCCCTTCTGAAAATGCCCCCCTACACACACACACACACACACACACAGGTATTTTTATGACCATAAGAAAATTGGCCCAAAGATGTTTTGTCCAAGCCCCATAGCTAGTGTGTCCCACAGGTAAATGAAAGTGTGCAGGAATAACTGCTTAGCCATGGGTGTAGCCATAAATAAGCCCACTGGAAACTGCCTCATATGCAAAAAGATCTTGCTACCAAGTAGTCCTTCTAAATTTTCTTTTAGGTTTAGTTATTCCATGAGTGAGAGAGACACTGGACCCAGGCAGGGTCCTGATGCCTCCGTCTACCTCCAGCTGCAGCCAGCCCAGAGCATGAGCACACGTGTACCTTGTTCTCAGGGAGACCTCCAGACTTGACCTAGTCTTGAATGGACCACCTTCCCATGTGGGTCTGCCTCTCAGACCGCTGCATGTTACTGCTGTGCCACTGCCCAGCCTCCTAAATTGAGCTCTGATGCCCACATCCCTTAGAATTGTAACATTGATTTTGAACATTTGTTGTGTGCTAACTTCCTCTTAAAAAATACATTTTGCCAAAGACTAAAATTTCCTTCAAAGGGACAAAACCCCAGTTTTGAGAAGTTTTTCAGTCGTTGTATGGTGTAGACAGAAACTCATTTTGTCATGAGGAGTTTGGTTAAGAATTTTGTAATATCGGGAACCAGCAGTTAGCGTAATGGCTATGTCGCTGGACTCCCACATAGTCGACCGCGGTTCGTGTCCCGGACCCGGTGGCTTAAGACTCACGCCGGGCGCGTGTGCGTGCGTGCCCAAGATCCTGAGAGGAGAATGGAGGAGAAGGGATTGCGGCGTGACCATCCCCCCTGGGGGGTGATTTCTCGCTTTCTGTCTCTATGTCTTTGTCTGTCTGGTGAGCGCACGTGCCCTATAGCAAAACAAAACAAA